AGAGAGGGAGAGAGAGAGAGAGATAGGAATGGGAATATGAAGAATTCAAACTCAAGAGAAATACCTCATCAAAGCTCTTCCTGAAAGGAGCAAAGCTAAAATGGTCATTAGCCTTCATTTGCTGCACATCCATGGCTACAAAACCAGAGACCATATCATCCCTATGCCCACCTTCTTTGGTGACATGCTCAATTGCCAATTCAGAACTGCTAGCCTGACAACTTGCTTTTGCCCTTTCTCTTTCTACCCCAACACTTTCTCTCTCTACACTCTTATCAGACCAGCTACACTGCCTTGGTTGGGTCTGATAAAAAATCTTGGAGACAACCAATTCACCTTCTCTCTCTTCCTCATGTTGGCCCAAGTGGTATTGGTGCATGACCCAATTGGTTTTCTCTGGTTTTCTGTGTTTCCCAAAATTAGTGTAGAGAACAAGGATCTTTTTGCACCCTTTTTGCTTGCCATTAACCATGACAGGCCTGGTTTTGCCAGTCTTATGCCACCTAGTTTCACCACCTTGGAGGTCACATTCAGTTTGAATCTTTCTCCTCTTCCTTGTGCCTGTTGTGTAGGCTTTGGAAGGCCTGTGAAAGAAGTGCCTGCTAAGACCATCTCTGGTCACACCTGAAAGATAATAAGCAAATGAATCACTTCCATTGTATCAGACACTAGAGAGAGAGAGTGAGAGAGAGAGAATGGAACTCCGTATTTGTCCTAGAGTCTAGAATCAGTGCATATAACACAAGATGCAGGAGAGAGAAAGAGAGAGAGAGAGCATGGAACTCAACATTCGTCCCAGATTCTAGATCAGTGCATGTAACATAAGATGCACGGAGAGAGAATGGAATTCAGAGTTCACTGTTACATGCATGGCACTGAAAATGAGGGAGAGAGAGAGAGGAGGGGGGGGGGGGAGGGGAAGTAGATTTTAAATTTAAAAGTAATAATGGAAGAATTTTCAGCTAAAAAGTCATTACTGGCATTTTCTAGGTTCACTGTAGACAACAAAGTGTGGGCCGGGAGAGAGAGAGAGATAGAAAGGAAAGTGTGGGCCGGGAGAGAGAAGAGAGAGAGAGAGAAGGAGATTTCCAGTTAAAAAGCCATGTAGAGAGAGAGATTTTGAATTAAACAAGGTTTCATGCATTTGGAGAGAGAGGGAGAAAGCATGTGAAAGAGATTCAACTAAAAGAATCACAGCATTGCATTTTCCAGCATGAATGTATGTGCAAGGAGAGAGAGAGAGAGAGAGAGAGATAGAGAGAGATGTAGAGAGAGAGAGAGAGAGAGAGGAGT